ACGTGCTCTTACACACACACACACTCCATGTCAGAATCACACGCTTACATATCAATACCCAAAGGCAGAATTACACCCTCCCTCTGATTCACACGAAGGGAATGTGCCCAAATTCTTAAGTCCAATTTGGGAACTGTGAGCACAGACGGAATGCCAGTTACAGCATCTCTCCTGGTTTCAAACCACACTTGCTAAAAGCAGATTTAAAAATACTATGACATCTAATTCCAGCCTGGAGACATCCACTCAGCTCCACAGGCTTTGTGAAGGGAGATGTGAGATACTCCATCTTTTTTTTTCCCATTTGTTGGTAATTCAAGTGTCAATTAACACCGTGTTCAGCAAAAACATTGAGAGCGCTGTAAAATCACCTGAAGATACCTGTGCTTTGATTTCTACTTGACTAGCAGTATGCATTGGACACGTAAGTATCGAAGCACTCTTTGTAAGTTTAATAAATAATATTCTTTTAGTGGTAATACTTAAGGATGGCAAATACGCAATCAAACATCACTTTAATTCACAGCTATTAAGTATACAACAAAGAGGAGCCCCGGTGGTGCAGTTTAAGCGCTCAGCTGCTAACTGCAAGGTTGGCAGTTTAAACCCACCGGCTGCTCTGTGGGAGAAAAATGTGGCAGTCTGCTTCTGAAAAGATACACAGTCTTGGAAACACTATGAGGCAGATTAGGTCTATAAGGTCACTGTCCTGTAAGGTCACTATGAGTCAGAATTGATTCAAAAGCAACAGGTTTGGTATTTTGGTTTTAGGTCTGCAACTAGGAAGAACTGTTTGAGAGTAACTTGGCAACATAAACCTAGAGCCTTAAAATATATATTTCTTGAATCCAATAATTCCACTTTGGAGAATCTTCCTCCAGGAAATAATCTGGATGTCAAAAAGAGCTTTATGGACCAAGGTATTTACTGCAACATTTTTCTAATAATAAAGACTCATAAATAATCAGATGTCCAAATAGAGAAGAATGAATGTGTGAACCACAGTGTGGCTACCTGGTGGTATCATACGACAGCCTCACTAAGACCACTGTACTGTCTTTATCTCTCTGCTCACTGCTAGACTGTGAGCATCACAAAAGCAGGAACGTAGACGAATCACTGAGTGAATGGATGAATACATTAATGCATGAGGTAGAGAGATATATAACTATTTGGAAATATGTACATGACGCAATAGCAGTTAAAACCAAACCAAAAAATGCAACATTGTAAATAGAGAGATTGCAACTATACCAGACTTTTCAGAGAAGCCTCGGGAGACTGGCGGAAAGCAAACAGATTAATTGCCATGGAGTAACTTTTCAAGTGTGATGTTTTCCTTCTAGATTTCTGCATTTTAAAACGTTTCCATAACTAACAAAATTATAAGAGGACCTGTTTCTCGAGGTTTGTGTGGAGGTTAAACACTGAGCATAAAGTACTGAGCATAAAGTGAGTATTCACTAAATGTTTAGAATTTTCTGAAAAATACTACATTTGTATTGCTTTTAGTTAAACATGGCACATTTCTCTTCTCTCCCTTCACAAGCCCTTATAAAATGAAGTAAAAGAATTAAAAAGCCTGAACTCTCAAAGATAATTGTTATGGACTGAATTGTGCCCCCAAAAGAGATGTGTTGCTCCCGTACAATGAATGTGACCTTGTTTGGAAAGCAGGTCTTTGAAGGTGTTGTTAGTTAAATTAATATGAGGTCATACTAAAGTAGCATGGTCTTATCCAAGATGAGTGGCGTCTTCATAAAAGAGGAGAAGAGACACAGAGAGACAGGCAGGGGGAAGAAGGCCATGTAAAGATGCATCTTCAAGCCAAGGAACGTTAAGGAACGCCTGGGCTACCAGAAGCTGGAAGAAACAAAGGATATTCTGTTAGAGACTTTATAGGAAACATGGCCCAGCTAACACATGTATTTGGACTTCTCGCCTCTGGAACTGTAAGACAACACATTCTGTTCTTGTAAGTCACCCACTTTGTGGTATTTTCTTACGACCACCTTAGGGTACTAATACAAAAACACGAACAAAATTTTAAAAAAAGAAGAACAATGGGAACGGAGTAAACAGCAGATAAAGGATTTCAACAAATTCTTAGATGAGAAAAGAGATGGAGTTGTGTTAACTGATTTAGCAACTGGAATAAGTTACTCGGTCCCTACAGAAGTCAGTACTCATACGACATCACCTATTTGCCCCACAGACCCTTTGGGAAGCCCAGGAATTACGAGTGCCAGGAAGGCAGCGGTGAGACACAGGGCTGAAAGCAAGAGGATCGGCGGAAAATCCCTCCCACGTGGCTGATAACAATAATGGGATGTTGCTGTTACTCCTCTGGGCTCTGCAGTGAACTGTATTAACGCGGTGCTGATAATGTAAATATTTACTCTTGCTTCAACCCCAAATCTTGACATAACTGTATTTTGAAAAAGAGGGAAGAAAACTGGAAAAGGGGTAATAAGAGACAGCCAAGTCCTCATCCTTCAAGGCAGGAACTCAATAGTTATTTGTAAAATTGACAAATCAAGGAAGAGCAGATTCACATATTATTTAGAAGCGTGGAGGTTAGGATGAGAAAAAAATTGCTAAAAGGGATGACAGTGGTGGCCTCTGGAAGCGGGAATGGTAGGTGGATAGGGAAGAGACAAGGAGCTACTCTTTTTAACCATAGATCTTCTACGAGTTTGATTATTTCAACTGTGTTTGCACCTTATCTTGCTAAAACTCAAAATCAATTTTGATCAATATTTGGCTCTGACGTGGGCTAACTCTCTTTAAGCCCCACTTGCACCATCTGTGATGAGGTGATAACAACACCTATCTCACATCTGAGAAGCCAGAGTATATGAAGAAGAACTCAGCATCAGAATTGGAGGAAGACTCATTAACAACCTGCCATATGCAGATGACACACCCTTGCTTGCTGAAAGCAAAGAGAACTTGAAGCACTTACTGATGAAGATCAAAGACCACAGCCTTCAGTATGGATTACACCTC